AGGTCTCTCACGGCCGTGCACCACTTGGCGGGGGCCTCCTGCTCGGGGTTCCTCCTCAGCAGACGCACCGTCACGTAGGCTGTGTAGGAGTTCTTAAAGGTGACCTCCTCGATCTGGAAGAAACGCAGTGATGCAGGAGAAACATCGGCTCCCATCACAGCACGGATATTTTATATATTTAATTTCTATTTAAAAAAGACTGAAAAGCAGAACTAATGACAGCAGATGTGTTGGATTCAGGACGAATATCAGAAAAAATCTGCAGAAATTTGACCTCCTCGAGGCTCGAGATCACTTTAATTGGAAATATTATTTAATAAGCGCTTCCTTTTAATCTGTGAGTGTCTATATTATAAAAACCTTCCACACAGAGAGAAGCTAAACTCCAGAAGCGCTCCTAATTAAATACTCTCAACTTTTCCCTTTAGCCTCCGCGGCTCGCTTCAGCTTGTCCTTCATGTCTTCACACTCACGAGAACAAAAGCTTTGGACGTTAGCTTTATCTGATGTTATAATCTGATTAAAAGAAACATTAAATTGTGACTTGATTTGTATTTTGCATTTCTTGAAATGTGACTGGAACACAGGGCTGCTGACAGGAATAAAAGAAAGTTTCCTGGTGATGTGCTGGATGAAGTGAAACTTCATTAAACCACGCCGGGCCTGGAAGGGAAATGCCTCCCGTCCATTCTGGGTCTTAACCTATTATCTAAGAAACGCTGTATCTGCCAAATCTCTGCATTAAGGCCTAAACGGAGCGCGCAGCTCGCTGCTGAAAACTCCTTTGTGCATTAGTGGCTCCAGGCAGACGCCTTTGAAGCTCGCAGCTTTGAGCTAATGAGGAGTCACTCTGCATTAAAGACGACTTTAAATTAGGACTAAATGCTGAAAAGTGGGTCAGCACCCAAAATGTTTGAAGTCGCTCCCAAGACAGGAGCACAGCTCTCTATTTAAACAAATGCTGTGAGTGCGTGCGCCATCGCTGAGAGGCCCAGATGGAGGGATGTTCTGCTGCTTTCAGGTTTTTAACTTCGCGCTGGGGGCGAAAAGACAACAAACAGAACTTTAGTCACGTTCTTTCTCCAGCAGCAGAAAATTCACTTCCAATAACGAACACAAACAAAGTCAGGCTGCACGTAATAATTACTGTTACTGTACAATAAACAGCCACGGATCAGTATTTAAGGTGTGACTCTCATCATCCACTGGAGCACCGACGGAGAGAAAGACAACTGCTGCCTAAGCAAAAGCCCTTTAACAAGCATAACTTACAAAATAAAAGCCTTCTGTTGAGTGTTTTCATTATTTTTATAGATTAATTATTAGCTTCTCTGTCTGCAGCTTTTCTTTTAGCTACAAAAACATCCTTCAGCTCCACTGTGTGTCAGCGCATCATCATCCTTCTTATTCTGGCTGTTGATTGGTTCAGACACCTACTATTATGATCATCATAACTCAATTCAATTTTATTTATATAGCGCCAAATCACAAAAGCCCAACAATCATATGACCCCCTATGAACAAGCACTTTGGCGACAGTGGGAAGGAAAAACTCCCTTTTAACAGGAAGAAACCTCC